TATCTTCATCTGACACTTCAGTTTTGTGCTTGTTATGAACAATGAGTCAGTCCAATTTGCTGTTACTTATTTTTAGGAGAAGGTGTGCAATAAAAAGCTGAAAAAAAGATCTTATTTTACAGCTTTCAGTAACATGCATGCCCCTTTTATTTCCTGAACAAGAATATTTTTCAGTAATATTACTGTTCAAGAAATATGTTTAAATCATCATTTGATGAGGCTGGATGTGGTTTTCTCAATGGACTGCACAGCAGACCGGCCAAGACATGTGACTGTCACTAAAACTTCACATAAGCAACCTTTCATCCCTGACTCTAAGCTTCTTGCACGGTGTGTTAAACTACAGCCATAATGATATTTTCTTCAATTGACATGGGAATATTTTACCACTGGTGTGCTGCTAAACAATATCAATCCCATAAATGAAGGTATTTTTTTTTTGCTTATACTACTAGTCAAGAACAAAATTTTCTGAAAATGAAAGCAATCCTATTATAAAAGTACCCTCAAGTGTTCTGAAGAGGGGTAGGGGAACTCATCTTGTCATGTTTGCTTTAAAAAAATAAAAATAACCCATTACTACCAGGACTTAATTTTGGAGGTGATGCGTTCCTCTATTCAAGTATAACATCAGTCGTCTTACAAAGTCTTAATACGCAGTCGTATTGTCTTTCCTTAGCTGATCAGATACAAACTCCAACTTTTTTGAAGACAATTCCAGTACACAAGTTCCTCAACATAGCAGACTGTACTAAATATCACTTTTTGCTGAATTTCCTTCTAAAATAAACATAATATACTCCAACTAAATTTGCGGCATTTTATTGTCCAGCTTCTCTAGACAGACTCCTCTAAGCAAACTGATAGGTCAGCTCCCAGGGGAAGCCCTCCCTTTGACCTCTACTACTCTTGTCCAGCTCCCATGAGAACACCAGCTACTCCAGTTTGAGGTCATTCAAAACATGAAATGTGATCTGATAGCCAAGTGCTATTAGTCCAAAGTCATGACTTAAGTCAATAAGCGTAAATTTTTTAAATATCTCTTTGCATGAAAATTGAGTGTTTAAGTGACACATTAATACTATTACAGACTTGCTTTCTGTTTAGCAAAGACTATAATGCTATTACTACATGCTTATGCTTTTTACCAAGACACTACAAGGGCTAGGATCTTCCAGGTCAGCTTCCCATGTGTAATAGAAACTGGTGATGAAAAAGAGACATTTTTATGTCACTATTTTTGTTCAGAAGAGTAAAGAAGTCTTGTTTCTATCAACAGGAGCATAAAGGTCTATTTGTAGAACTTTAAACAGCTCTGCCCAGCTGTTAGAAGCAATTCTTTCATGTTTATTTTTCTCCCACAAAGACAACTCTTTTAACCCTTTTCCACAAAATCCATTCATTTTCCTCCTTCAGCCTCCACATTATTCAGCTGGGATAGTCCTAGTTCAAGGCCTCTCAAAGTCAAACAGCTAGGAAAGATGAGGTGAGCGTTCCTTGAGTTGCAGAGCAGCTGCACAAAAAAGGAAAAGTGGATTTTCAAGTGCCAGACAAAGAATACTTTTAACTTGCAAAAACATGAAAACAAATTTTTGTGCAATATTACAAGGCAGCTTTTAACTCTTTCTGCGTGGAACATCATTCTTACTCTTTTCAATGGGTTTTAAATTATTTTGTGTCAGCAGGTGATGATTTACTTTGATGCATTACTGAGAGTTCCTGGCATGAGCTAACCACTTGTTGCCTACATTTGTGCACTGAATTAAATCAGAAAAGGAAATCAGATGCTTTCCACTTTATTAACTAATAATAGCAGAAGAAACAAATATTCTTATATAATTACAGTTTAACATACTTCGAGCAATTAAATAACATGCAGATTTGACTTTAAACTGTATTTCTATTTTTCTAAGTCCAAGCACATACTGAGAAATATCATGCACTACAAGACTAGTTCAAAATCAACTGGCTGAAAATAACACAGCTTTCTCTCCCGTTTTTATTCAAGTCAGAAAAGGTTCCTGGTTAACAGTTTAGTGCACTATCCTTTTCAATAATAGGCAGGTGACAGCAGTTAGAACAACAGAGACATTGTTCTGATAGAAGTTGTTACACATTGATACCTCTTTGAAGCATGAATGGCCATGTGCTTCCAACACTTCAGGACTGATTATTCACAGGACCTGTTATACATTCTTGACTATCACTAGGTTCCTCATGAGTTGTCATTTTTTTATTTTTTCTTTAAATAAATGATACCATCTTACATGACAACTATAGGGGACCTGATGATAAAGACTTACTGAGGGGAAATATCATCCTTATGCTAAACTGCTTTTAATCCTTTACCTTTCACCACATCTTTCCTCACTGTTCTTGATCTGCTACTGCCCAGGATCATATGATAAAACAGAAGATATGAGGCGGTACCTAATACTTCACAACTCTTAGCTTTTTTACTAGCCTTACTAAGACATATTTGTGCATTATGTTCCTTTACTTATTAGACATTTAAATTCACAGTATGACTAACAGACTATTGACCAATGCCACATCTTTAAGTATGATGTTACCATCATGTTCATGAAATACACTTGTGATGCAACACTACATATTTGCTGAAGTAGGACATGAACTCGAGAAGGAAGAGGATGTAAGAGGTATTTGTTTGCATCTGAGAAGGATGAACGGAGTGCAGTGTGCTGAAACTGATCAGTAAACAAAGCTCATTCTACAGCCCCTACAAGAACACCACTGCCCTCCTTTTTTAAATATATAAAGCAGTAGTTTTGATTCAGTATGTCCCTCAAAATTACCCCATTATCTGTGCATTTACATCACTCCCTCTTCTGTGATTCTAAAACAAATTGCTCCAGTACAGTTCCCATGTTGATCCAGTATAGTTCCCATAGCTCCTCCTTTTATTCCCTCTTGTTTAACTTGGACCAAAATATCCTGACCTCCACCAAATCTCATTAGCACTTCTGTAGGAATCTTCTCCAGTTATATCCTATTTGTTACCACCAAGACAAAAAGGGAAATTCATTCCAGAAAAAATTGGAACCTTTTGATTAAACTATTTTCTCAAACCTTTTTGCTCAATAGCAAAGACACAAAAGGATGAGGGAATAGATGAGGATCAATAAACATAATGGTAGTTTCAGAAACGATAAATTGTGAAAGCAGGCCCTATTATGATGCTTTTCAGGTTGCTGCTTCAGAAATGTTTAAAAAAAGCCAAAATCAAAGCCCCCCCCCAACCTCTAAACAACTCTGATTCATAAAAAGAGATCCTAGAGGTTTAAGCCTAGTATTAATTCTGTTTAACTGTCAAAGCTTGCTTCAAAGCTTTCTAGAGAACGAATTGTGAACAAGGGAAGATAGATATTACAAAGCTTGTATGCTTTGCATACCAGTTCAATCCTTTTACATGTTGGTAAACACTGTTGCTTTTTTTTTTTTTACCCCCAAATCTGAATTTTTAAATATTTTTTTCTTGAATTTTTTTTTTTCTTCTCAGCTGGTAAGATTTTCTTCCATCTTGATTTAAAAAAAAACAAAACAAACCCAATATATTTTCAAGGACATGATGCATGTCCTTTATAAAATTGATTTTTTTAAAAAAAAAGTTTATGACCAAAACTTTGGTTTTTAATGTGTCATGCATGCTGCTGTTTTCCTGTATTGAAAAATACACAATTTAACAAACTGGAGATCTGGCTAAACATTTTTTAATGAATAGAAATTAACACTTTGGTGGCTATCCGTAATGAGTCAACATTTCCTTAAAAGAAACAAATGCTACCTAGTACTACAACTACATTTAAGCTATGTCACATATAAAACACAACTTAGATCCCTGAAAATGGAAACGTGTAGGTGATGCCACCCTTGCAGAGACCCAATTATGCCACTGGGGATCCATTCACCCACACTCATCCAATTAGGTGGTCATGCCTGAATATACCGATCTACAGACAACCAGAAATGTCTTCTGTTATTTCACCTGTCTTACAATTCAATACCACATTAACATACCTATTGGAAATGCACCCACATAAATGCTCAAGTTTAAATCTAACTAAAGAAATCAAATCCAAAGCCATAATAAAATGCTCACTTCTGATTTTTGTAATTCCTTGAATTTGCCTCTACATTCTGGCAATTTGTTAACTAAGCTCTAAAAAAAAAAAAAAAAAAAAAAAAAAAAAAGTCTATTTCCACATACAATTTTTTTTTCCAATATCAAATATTTCTTTATCATCATTTTAGAGCCAGCATTTTGATTAGCACAAACACAATAAAAATTGTAACTATGGAAAGACCATGTGGACTTTAAGAAACCTAGATTATAAACTCTGTCATAGCCAATTATCTGTAATATCTACTTTTAAAATACCTTTAAAAAAATCTATTTATCTAAACTTAATTAGTGTGTTTATTTCATAGGAATGTGCTGGATCATATTTGGGAAAATAGTATTTGTTAAATTGTTACTTTTAGATCCAACTACCTTCTTCTCGTCCTGACCGTTGGTTTTATGAGCTAATTATGATAAAAGTTAAACTTCAGAAAGACAGGCATGCCTCAAAGGGACACAGTGCCCTATCTCGTAGTAATGAGTTATGGTTCTGTCAGTTACATGGCTCTGACTAAACTATTTGTGTCTCTTGACATTTTGAGGCTTGTAAGTTGTCCCATGGTTGGGAAAAGTGACTAGGTAGAAATCACCCAGTATTTTCTTCCCTTAAGCTTCAGCTTAGGAAGTATTTAAGAGCTGTACAATTTAACCTCTGTGCAGACATTAAGATCTAATACTTCTCTCGTAAGAAGCCTCAGGTTAGCATTAGAGGTAAAACCCTCAAGAATTAGATGATCTGTTACAACGCAGAGAAAACTGATTTTAGGCTGAGAACTCAGGAGTGCACACAGATTAATTACACAAAGACTCGGTCCGTACAGTGCTGCACAAGAAGGCCATCAGAATCAATGTACAGTACCTTTCATCTTGTCCCAGATCCTCACTGTCTGGCATTTCAGATGTAAAAAGGAATTATCTCTCTCTACCAATCTAGATAATCCAGGCAACGATCTTCTAGTCTGTTTTGTGTTTTATAAGCAACAACCCAGGCACTTGTCCTGTTTGCTGCCGAGGAGAGCGCTCCTTGCTCAGAGAGCAAATGTTTACAAGACATCCTAAGTGCCTGCTGGTCTTGAATGAAGTTCAGAGCGTTCGGCTTTGATTGGCCAAGGCTATAAATAAACAAGTCGTGACTCACCTCACACACTATGACAGGGTGTTTAGTAGCAGGCACAGCCAAAAGCAAAACAGTTTTTTTAATTCTTCTGGTCATGTGAGGGAGAATCACTACCCAGTTAGTACATTTTATTTTTCTACTTCCACTGGAAATCCTACTCAATGTCTCCCATTTTTCTCAGGTGTAAGTGAGCAGCAACCAAAATGATAGGAAGCTAAGTGACACAAACTCTTAAGGAACATGATTAAAAATGTAAGAGCAAAGAGCTTACTCTGTGAAATTATCTTTTTGGTTTTTTTTCTTCCTTGCAAAGTGTCAGTCGCAAGCTGTAAGAAGATGCAGAATTATTCACCACTGACTAAATTCACAGATGAAAAAAAAAAAAAACCAACTTACCAATTCTTTTCAAGTAAGGAATAGGAAGACAAGTTTTCAATAAAGATTAATTGCATTGTTTTTAGGTTCTTATTCCAAGCTTGTCTGCCACAAGCAGTCTTAGCTATCATAGCTATACCAGCAAACTGTACTGGAAGAGTCCTCAAAATGAAAGTATGCCGAAAGGAGGAGGTTTTCTGCCAAAATACTTTGGCTTTTTGCTGTGTGCATGACAGGAATTCTGTCACTCCAGCTACACCAGCTACGTCTCTATTAATTTTCAACACCCCCGCAACCTTATCTCTGCTGATGAAACTTTGTCACACAGCCCAAGACTCCAAGCATCACATATGTACGTTACTCAGCACTGCTCTTTCATGTGGCTTCCTTCCTCCATTAAACAGCTTGTCCTATTGTTCCTAATATATTTTGAAATAAATATTACATCCAGAGTTCTTCACATAATCTTTTTTTCTAGGAAGGAACCTAGCAAGACTTAGACCTGCCTCTCCTGCATGAAATAGTAGGAATTGTCCTGGGGATGTCACATCTTAAAAAAATTAAAAAAAAAAAAAAAAAGCAAAAAAAAAAAAAGCATCACTGATACAAAAGATATCTCAGATTAAAAACCAAATACCCCATAACTTTGATTAGGTAAGCTGTACTTGGTGCAGTGTGGGTAGTGCATCATTCGTTAGAAAGCTGCTTAACTTTCAAAACTACAAAGGATTGTATTTTATCTTCTTATTTTAGTATAAAATGCTTCAAAATTACTAGTAAGATCTAGATAAAAATTGCAAAAATCCCCCAAACCATAAAATCACAGATCTATTAATTTAAACTGCATGGTTTATATTTACTACATGAGTATCTGAATTAATAAAATTATCTCAGGAGATAGTGAGAAAACAAAACAAAACAGGAATGCTGCCTATCTGTGAATGACAACTTCCTTAACCCTTCTCCTAACGTTCAGTTAGTTCCTTCTTCCTTTTCTTAATCACATGCAATCTTATGTATTCATACCTTTCCTCAGCCTTTCACAAGACATGTTCTTCCTGAAGCAGTTTAATCACAGTGGACTTTTAAAAGAAAGGAGGGAGAAGAAAAACAGGAATAAAATCCTATGTCTAAATTATGCAAGGCAATATACAAATATGTATTAATAAATGTTCTGCCCTACTCAACAGAGACGTTCTACGGTCACCTGTACCTGCATATTCCAATAGCATCCTCTGTTCTTTTTTATAGAATCATAGAATGATTCTCTCTTATTTTTTCTTTTGTTTTTCTACTTTTGATAGTTATAGCTGAAACAATTAGAGCTTAATCTCCTTCAAGCTTACCCTGAAACAGAGCTGCTAAATTCAAAAGTCTTAATTAATAAAATGTTTTGTGTTAACAGCTTCATTTTCAGATTAAAATTCTGAAGTGCTCTAATTAGAAAAAGAATCAAAAGAAATAGCTGAAATCTTCAAACTCACAAAAGCATCATTCAAAATTTAAATGTAGCATCAAAAATGAAAGCAAGCAAAACTAAAATCCTTGTGCAACTTGGGTTACTTTTGTTTGTTTATGTGCATTGGAATATAGTTTTACATAGCCACATGCATTTACTACGTAAAACACGTTTTTACAAATATTCCTTTTTAATGACTTTGATGATCACACTCAGGAGCTGAAAAGCTTTCAGTATCGTGTCTATCCCTGTATTTCAGTCCTGGTACTCAATGTACTCCAAACTCTTCAAGCAGGACTTTGGCCTGTTCATTTCTTTGTCACATTCTGTACACAGTGCTCACTGGTACAGCAGAAAAATGGTTCACTGTTTACTGTTACAATTCCTTAGAACTCTTCCTCAGTACTCAGTGAGATAAGGAGGGTAGTGTCACCTTATTTTCTTATTGATAAGCAAGTCCTAGAAAGATTAGGTTCAAAAGTGTCTACTTAAAGGAGTACCTAACTGAAATGTCAAGGACCTTGTTAACTTGGAAGTAGAGTATTTATTATAAAACACTTCAATACTCAAAGACTAGTTTCTACTGATATCACTGCTCATAATTTTTGCAAATCAAACTTCAGAACAGCATAAGCACGTAATTAGCCAAACCGCAATCACACTGAAGTATTTCACTTAGTATCACAAAGAAGACTATCTAGAAAATTAACCTCAATTTTTTGATCGTTCTGAATTCTTCCACACCCAAGATAATTAGAGCTTGTACTGGCCCACGTGGAGGTTTTCAGTAGATCAGGCTCCAGACTATTTCACAGTAGCACAAGACTGTATGACCTCTCAAAGTACACTTGGGTGGAACAGCAGCAGGTGAGCAAAAGTACTGTACTGAATCAGGCCAAAGGGCTTCTGGCATCTCCTGCTGTGTCCAAAAGCACAGCCTAAGGAAAAATGCATTGCTGCCTTTCCAAATAGTCTTCCAGACTCCAACTTATGGCTTTCCTGAACTAGCAGTGATGTCTGCATTTTTAGCTCTGAGTGGATTGCCATCCTGTGATAGCATCTATAATATCTTGCAGCAAGGACTTCTGCATCTTAACTACATACTATTTGAAAACAAAAAATCCAACCAAACCCCGCCCAATTTTGTTTGCTCTTATCTAGCCACTTACACTGATTTCTAAGAAGTCTTATACTGGAACAGGTAGATGACAGTTAACTTTCTTCAGCTTTTCACAGCTATTTGTCATTTTTGCAGACCATTATCGTATTCTTTTTGATGGGACTGCAGAATTGAAAGGTGGAGCTGTCTAGAAAAGAGCTCACCTGGTATTAGAATTGCTAAAAGGGAGCTTTAAACTTTTTCAATATGGAAAACTCAAAGTGACTAGAAATGACAGAACTGAGGAAGAAGTTCTTTCCCTACCCATGCTATTTTTCTGGAAGGCTCTTACTTCCTTGCTTAGTTGCATCTAATGCTACAACTTTGTGAATTGCAGGGGATTTTGGTCAGTCCTCTCTGTCCTTTTCAAGTTCCTTCTTGCTATCTCTGAGGCCTCACCTGACATGACTAATCCCTGCTCCTCTCAGCAACCTCTTTGCTTGAGCTGCTATCTTCCAGCCCTGCTGTAATCTCACTGCTTGCACCCTGCATTTTCAGAAATTTTCCCTCCCTTTGGCTCCATTGGTTCCTCCACAGAAGGAATAACCCCTTCCCCCTAGCTCCATTACTTCTGAAAGGAACATGAAAGCACTTGACTTTGTAATCAAAAGGAAAAAGATACTATCTGTCATGTTCTGCTCTTGGTCAGCTCATTCAGCTTTAAAAGCCCTGTTTTGCTCACTTGTTTCATGCATGTAAATTGTTACATGCCCTCAAGCATCCTTGCTGTTCTTTTCCAAACTCTTTCCATGTTTACTATATCAAATTCAAGGTGAGAGAAACCAGAAATGTACACCATTATTGCTGGTAAGGGCTTCCTTAATGAACACATTTTGACCCTTTCTGAGTTGTTCCTCATGCTGTTGGCCCTCATTACCACATTTTTACACATAGCTTTCTGGAGTACATGGCCTTCTTTATTTTATAACTTTAAGAATCAATCCTTCTTACTTCTGTTCATCTCGATTGCCCTGTTCTTCAGGGTAGAACAGAACTCTTCTAGACCTTTCTCAAAACTTCCTTGACAGCTGGTAAGTAACAGCTCTCTTTACCATCAGGTATTATGATACCTCAAAAGATATGCTGGCACACAGATCAAATGCCAACCTGACATACTGCTTGATAGAGAATCTTACCAGTTTTGCTCTTGCTGAGTACAGATTTGGACTAAACACCTTTTATAATTATCAAGTAAATAGCCTTCACCCCAAACAGTACAGACATCTATGTGAAATTTTTCTTTTACAGGCAAGCACCAAAGACTTCAGAGGAAGTCATCAGCAAAAGAATGAAAATAAAAGCTATGTTCCAGCCAGAGACAGAGCAGCCTTACCGAGTAGGTTGAGTGGATCGGAAATAGCGTTGGATGTGCTGTTTTACATACTCAAACACTGAGGTTGTTCAGGGGCTTTAGGAGGTGGGTGAAAGGCAGTGTGCTGTCCATGTGGAGTTCAATGGGGATGATTTGGCATTGCGTGGTAGATGGGGTACCCCACCCAGTCTGCAAGCTGTCAAAGATTTAGTCAGCCAGCCTGTGGCACGCTTTAGCTGGTTAACCAGTTCCATAACTAGTCACAATCACTGCCGCCTTCTATGTCTCTCATCTAAAAGCAAAGTAACATGGTGCTTTCAACGTATAACCCTGTTCTAATTATTCAGCTATGAACAAGTCTCACTTCTAACAATGTGGATGAAAACATAATGAACACCATATTGTACACTTGAAAGACATCCTAAAAAACCTCAGCTGGTTCATAGCAAAAAAATCACACTCCAAAAAGAACATCTAGTTTAGTTCATATTTCTAGAAGGAATGGCAAGTCTAGCATTTTACGATTTAGGCTGGTATTATTTTCAGCAATAGCATGTGTTTAAAAATTACCATCACTGTCAAAAGGCATGTTTAGGATTAAAACTAATTT